GAAGACGCCAGTTTGTGAGAACGTATGAAAATAAGTCTTCAATCTCATTCTAGCGCCCTCAATGAAATTAACCTGCAACCGCCCAAAGATGCATCCTTACTATTGCAATTCAATAATCTGGCTGAACAAACTCTTATTCTCATTGACAAAATAAGAATCATCCTATTCCAAATCCCATCTAGTCTCCATCTACTTCTGCAGATTCGCCAGCTTTGTCAGCCCAACCTCCCCGTACGTATCTTCACACTCTTGCTCCTGCTCTTCTTCTTTCTCTTCGTTCAACCGTAATATTATAGTTATTGATTAGGTTTTCGAGACTACAATTAAATCATATATCTAATTTTATGCCCCAGTTTTGACATCCTCCTGCCTATACCCTCAAACAATCAGGCTTGGCAACTCCGATCACGAAAGAATAATTAAAATCATTCTCCTTGAAAACAAGAGCTTTTTGACAATTTTACTTTGGCACCTTTTTCTGCTTGCACTTAATGGCCAATTTGAGTCGCGATAAACGCATTCTCTCGGTAGACGTTTCATCCATGATCGAGGTCTTCATCATATTAACGTTGGCTCCAGCACCGTAGGAAAAGATCTCATGATTAAGGACTATAGCTAGCTCCGCGGAACCACGCGTTTGCTCCAACAATGAAGTCGCAAATAGCTGGCATTTTTCCGACAGCTCTTCATAATCGTCCTGAGAAAAAGCAAAAGCAAAAACATCGTTACAACAAGGCCAAACCTAAATTGTACGTCGATAGATGAAGGTTTAGCGGCCTTGACTATCGACCAGATTTGTTATTTACATCAAACTGAAAACGATATGTTTTTAGGTATTCGCCTACAGGTTGAGAGGAAGTCGGGGTTGTGTACTGTGGAGTGTAATCCTTTTTCTTTTATCAAATCTTTAGAGTGGATTTGTTGTCATGCCTTGGCATGCAGCCATTATCCAAACGTACTAAACAAAACCAAGCCTGTCTTAATGATATTGTCGCACCAAAGAGGTGGATGGAGAGGCGCCTGCATCCTTCTATTTTCCGAGACGACTGGTATCATGTGGGGTCTAAATAATCGCCATATTTTGGATGAAATCCGCCC